TTCCAAACACATTCATACCATTTTTGGTTGAAAAAGATCCCTGAGCCTAAGATAACTCTTTCTTTACAAATACTTTAAACTTTTTCGACGGTTCCTTTAGGAAGAATTTTGCAATTGAAAATGAACTGATATTTGTATGAAATAGGTCTTCACCTCCAAAAGGAGCAATACGAAACAGTTCCTTAAAAAATATCGTGGCCTGTTGTGAATGTTAATAGCCAGAATTGCTAAAAAATGATGCTAACAATGACACGTGACAATGATGATAATGGCGCGTTGAACAACAAAGATAATGATAATGATGCTAAACAAATATGCCTGGTATTGTTCTGGTAAAAAAATTTCCAACTACCAGTAAAACATATTCATATTTTAAGTTGCAATAAAAAACATCCTAAAGATATTATGTTTAAATTGCTCTATTTATTAATTCCATAGATCTAAAATAACTTCAGTTACATCACCTTGCTATCTGATTGTCATGGTTTTCTATCCAAACCAAAATAACATGGACCAAGGAGTTTTTTAACTTACAGTCCAGCATAGACAACGCACACTCCAGCATAGACAACGCACACTCCAGCAGTGAAAGCATCCCCACCTTTGACTCCCTTTTTCGTGACTAAGACGCTCCCATACCAGCCCTGAAGAGCCCAAACTGCATACGTAACTCCAACACTGCCCATGGCCATTCCTTTCATTAATCCTTGTTTGATCCCAAGCTTTAAAGTTGGTTCCAGTGCATTTGAATAGCTCTTCACTGTCCTCTCCTCTCCAACATAAGAATAGACAGTCCTAATCAAAGACAGTGCCTGTTCCACAACTCCACCAGCAACTGCATAAGCTTCCTGTACCTTTTCTCCAACCCCAGATAAGAGTTTCCAATATACCACCCCTGGAATAATCAGCATTGACAGCGCCGGGATGGCAATGATAGCCAATCTCCAACAGAGGTACAAAGCAGCCACTAGAGCTGTGATGAACATTGCTACATTCATAATAAAATTTGGGATCTGTTTTAATTCTACATCAAGTCAGTAAGGTCAAAATTAAGAATATATATATATATATACATAGGGTAATTCTGCTTTAAAGTGAGCTATACGGAAGTTGAAGAACCTTTTCACTAAGAACTCCTTGTATGGTAAGCATGTCAGTTGATATACTCGAGACCACCCGGGATGTCAAGGATGCTCCATGAACACTGTCAAAGAAACCAACATCTTGTCGCAGGACAGCTTGTAAATATTTAGTGCGTACTCGGGATGTTTGTCTTTCTGCAGTGCGTGCCCAACAGAATCCTTCTGTGGGATATAAAAGTACAATGGCCAGAGGATGAGAGTATGAAGTGAGATAAGAGTTTGAAACATAATTACCACATGAATTAATTAGCAGATCACATTTCTATCTGTTAGGGTGCTATTAGATGATTAATATCTGCTAGTGTGCCTATAAACAATTGATTCTTTATTGAAAAATGAGGAGTCTGTGAACTAGGAAGAAGAAAAAAAAGACGAGTCGGTGTACGTTTCTTCAGTTTTCTAGGATATAATCTAGCAAAAACCATATGACTTGTGTGCATTCATATCTCAGATTCTAGCATTTGGCTTTTTGTATTCATGTCTCAGAATCTATATATCTTCCTCTGGGGATACTATCAGCCATGGACTGCTTAGGATCCAATATGTAATTTAATTCAAGCTAGGGAAGAAACTGTTTTCACCATGTAAAAACGTTCAGAGAAGGGATTGCCCGAGGGATTCCTCAAATAAGTGAAGTATCTGCAAGCTCATCATAGATTTATTATTTATTATTTATTATTTATTATTATTATTATTTTAAATGAATGTCCCTATATACTTTTTTAAGTATCCTTTTACACACACTAACACGCATAAAGTGCCCCTTATAAGAGATTTTTTTTTTTGTTTGGTAAAGCTGCTTCTAGGATCCTTGATATAGAGAAGTAGGAGGAGCCCTCGAGAGAAGACTTTAGCCATTTATACTTCTTTTTTTCCATGAATTTTGTTGAACTAGAATGATAAAGGACTCTATATAATAATCAAGGAATGATGAAGCAAAACCCATGTTCCATTTTCCACATTATTGTTTTAAGGCACTGCTAAGTTTAGCGTGCAGATGTACATAATTCTATGGATACATAAATATATTATCCTCAAAGGAAAACCGAAGTACCTAGAAATGCACTGCAACCCACACAAACAGCAACATAGAGCAAGACCAGTGCATACTGCAAAATGAACAAAATTCAAAGAGTTTGTTATGATTGCAGTTCAGAGACAGATAGTTATAATGGAACTCTTGTTAACCACCATCTACTCTAAAAACTTAAGCTATTAGAGAGGGTGCAACTTTAATAATTAAATCCTCCAACATGCCCCCTCACGCGTGACCTTCTTTTGGTCCATTATCGGGTGACGGTGAGTTTTGAATTTAGGATACGATGTTAACCACCATATACTCTAAAAGCTTAAGCTAGTAGAGATGGCGTAACTTCAATATTTAAATCCTCTAACAACTCTTACTAAGTTGATAGTAGATAATGAATGGATACCGATGTAGAGATTATTAATGAAAGGACCAAACAATGTATATCCAGGTCTTTCAACAATGTCCCACACGCGTGACCTGTTTATGTATGTGGAACAGTAAGAAAACATACTAAACTGCAGAGTGCAAATATTGCTGCACTTATTTACACACTGTATTTCTTTGTCTGTTTGCCTCTCCATGTGCCAGACGAGATCACATTTACGAGTTTGATCCATTTCCTAACAGCTTAAACTTTTAATATTAGGTTTTTAACTAACCTAGTTTATGTACCAAGGGCTATAGCCTAGTGGTATTTCCTCACCTTCCAAAGTAGAAGGTCGATGATTTAAGTCCCCATAGGGCCAAAAAACGGGTGTGTGAGTTTCTTGCTAAGGTTTTTAGAAAATAAATAAATAAATAAAACACTAACCTTGTCAATGTCTTCAAGGGTTAGAGAAGATGCAGCAGCATAACCATTCATCAAGTGGCTGAGAACTAGGAGGACTGCAGGCATGCACATTCCATCTGATACGCATCCAATTGTCCCCAGCACCATCAACAACATATCTATCCAGTCTGAGTGCTTCAAAACCATCCGTAGCGACCCACCTGAGGTTGTAGGATTTCCATTGCCCTCAGGTTTGCTTGATAATTCATCACTTTTCTCTATTTCCTGGTCAAGCTCTCCCATTTCTCCAAGTTCCTGCTTCTGTCACCACCATGAAAGGTTGCAAACTGGTTCACAGGTTAACATTGCCTGTGATTTAACAATCATGGATTTCAACTGCTTAGAACTGAATAGATTTTATACCCAACATCAAGTTTAATTGTTATGTTATCAGCCTCCCAGCCAATAAATTGTGCACCTGAAATGACTTATATCCCTAGAGTGATTATATTATATTGAAAAAATATAGCCATTTTAGTGTTGGTTGCCCATCATTTCTTATACAAATTTACAGTCTATTATATAGTTAGATACACTACTTTGTCTCTGTGTGTGTGTTTTACATCAGCATCAAGTTTAATTGTAATATTATCAACCTCAAGCCAATACATTGAGCCCCTTAATTTGACATATGTCATTAGAGTGATTAAATTTGGTATCCTTTTTGTCCATACTGGCCGGCCGGCCGACTTCAAAAAGATTCCACTGGAACATGTCTATGTTTGGTCAAGATTGGGAAGACATTAGAGGAGACAATTTTGGATCTACGTAATTCTTTTTTCTATTAGAGAACCGAACAGACTCTGTTAAATTACTCAGATAAATTTACAGTGCTTTTTGATAACTAAATTGAGTACTTAATTCTGAATAGATTCAACACTTAAGTGCATTTGATAACATAATAATGATACTGAAAAAAATAAGTGCCACTCAAAAATAGGATTAAATTTTAGATGATGGAGACTTCAAGTATCACTAACACTTAAATTCAAAAGTACTATAAAATTCTCAATTTATAACTAAAGCTTAATATTCACCTCTCAGTTTTATCAAACTGCACTTTAGGCTTGTTTAGGCACGGTACTAAATGTAGAAAACTTGAGCAAATTTAACTTTTTTAACATTATTTTTGTACAAAGTCTTGTTGGGGCCAATACTAATAATTGAAGAAGGAAAATAATTTGTGGATGTGAGGCGTGTAGCTTTACTTTTCTTAAGGTGTTATTTACCCCCATTCATAAATATCTTTTGGCTACTCGCTAGGAGATCTTTCATAAATATATACCACGACTAATTGTATCCATAAAATTGAACAAAAGTTGGGGACTTTGCTATTACCAACCAAAAAATTAGTCCAAAATTAATAACTAAATTATTAACCTAATGACATTGAATATGGAGACCCTTCACCTTTGCAAATGGTTTCCTAATGGATCAGTCCGAATGTAATATCTAAAATTATATAATCTCACCTTGGGAGAATTTAACTTATTAATATTCTAATTACAAAGCCACCAATAAATTCTTCAAGACAATGGAGTTGAAAAATAGAGACTAGTTTCATCAAAATAACAACGTTAACCTACATTATTATAGGATATTTCTGTTTTGACACCGTTAAAATTTTACATTAACATGAACACTTATTCACAAACAAAATGGATACTATATCAGCAAACGAAAACAGAATTCAACTCATAAAGACAATAAACAGATACTAGTTCCATTTATTACAGCACAAAAGGTATATCATAAACTAGGAGAGACATTTCAAAAAGAAAATTCAAACAGAAGGAAAAATAGATATATACATATCTAAATTACTCTGCATGTAAACATGTATGCTCTATACAAGACAATCTTTAAAACCAATATCTAGAAAAGATACCAATTATTAAGCTCATTCGCAGGACTGGATTGTGACCATATGTTGTATGTGCTTTGACTGTTGCAATCTTTGCTTAAGCTCAGCCTCTTCAGCCATTAGTCTAGGGACTCCCTACTTCATGGCAGCTTGCTGTTGGAGCCTAACAAGTGAAAAGTAAGCACCCTTTTCTCCCTTTGCAATAAGCTCACTGTGAGAACCTTCTTCTACCATCCTTCCATTGTCGATCACTAATATTTTATATGATTTCTGAACCGTGGATAGTCGATGAGCCACAACCAAGCATGTCCTACCAACCATGGTCTTCTCTAGTGCATTGTGTACAAGGTTCTCCGATTTAATGTCTAATGCACTTGTTGCCTCATCCAAAAGCAATATTGCAGGATTTTTCAAGATTGCTCGAGCAAGAACTATCCTTTGCTTTTGCCCACCAGACAACTGTACACCTCTTTCTCCACAGTATGTCTCATATCCATCTTTCATTGAACTGCTCATGAAAACCAAACATGCTTAGCCAATATGCATGGAGGAGGGAAGATAAAAGAGGAAAATTAAACAGCGAAAATAAAAAAGGAAACATTGTGCATTGTAACTTTGTCTTTGGAGATACCTTATAAACTCATGGGCATTTGCAAGAGTTGCAGCTTCGATTATCTCTGCTTCAGTTGCATTCTCTTTTCCATATGCAATGTTTTCATGTATTGTTCCTGCAAAAAGAGTAGGCTCCTGACCTACCCAAGCAATATGTGACCTTAAAGACCTCAGCTTGTAGGACTTGATGTCAATTCCATCTATTTCCACTGATCCCTTTGATGGGTCATAGAATCTCTCAATCATTCTGATGATGGTGGATTTTCCACACCCACTCTGGCCAACCAACGCTACAACTTTTCCAGCATCAATCTTTAGGCTTAGACTAGTCAAGATCATCTGTTTCGGTCTTGTTGGATAAAAGAAATCCACCTCTTTAAGCTCTATATCTCCATTTATCTTTTCTGGATTGATACCATTTGCTTCATCTGAATCCATCTTGCTCTTCCTTCTCAAGATCGTAGAAATTGATTTTAACGCACTGGTACCCTTTGATAAATCTGCAGTCATGCTTCCTGTCTCCGCTATAATTCTCCCTGTTGCCACCAAGATGAAGAATGTCTGAAAAAGGTTCTTGTACATGATATTCCCATGGTAGAGGAGCTTTCCCCCATACCAGAAAAGCAGTGCTGAATTAGCAGCAGTGAGGAACTGTGAAGTAAACAGTCCGATTCCTGCGTACCAAGACTGTTTGTGACTCTCTTTCCTGGGGCCTATCTGTGTAGCCACAAAAAGTGCCATAACCTTTTCCTGAGAATAAAATGCAGTGATAATTCTGTGGTTGCCAATGGCCTCACTTGCTAATTCGCTGCTTCTGTTCTGAGCTTTCAAGATTTTCTTAGACATTGTTCTCATCATTACAGCCTTAATATAGAAGGAACCTATGATGAGTGGCTGCATAGCAATAGCTGCAAGGGCAAGTTTCCAAGCCAACAAGAGACCTAAAATAACAGCTAAAGTCGCTGATGAGATGGCCTGAGTAAAAAATGCCAAACGATCTGCGACCAGAGTTCTTACCATGGTTGCATCTGTGGCTAATCTTGAGCATAGAGCCCCACTATTGTTGGTTTCTTGATCAAACCATTCAATCTCAAAAGTCAGAATCTTCGCAAAGACTTCTTCTCTGACCCTTTTTGTCAGGTTCTCTCCCATGATTCCAAAGTGGTAATGTTGAGTGACGTTGGTGATGAAAGCGAAGATGGCGAGGGATAAGAAAGCAAAGCAGTATATTCTTGTTTGTGACCTGATTTCATCATTATCATTGATGAAGTAGACAGATAGGATTGCACCCAAGCAGAAAGATTGCCATGGCTGAACTAGTCCGTAGCAAAGAGCACCAAAGCAACCTATCAGAGTTGACTTCCAGTCAGATTCTGTCATTTGTACCAGTTGCCACAAGGATGGAGGGCCATCTTGTTCTTCTGGCTGTTGGTTGGTCTTTTTGTTAATACTTGATAGATGAGGAATCATAGTGTTTGATGCATCTGCATTATGGGTATCTTTAGTTGGGGAAGGAGAGTTATTACTTTCTGTCCCTTCAGATTTTGATGTACTTTCATCATTCATCAAGGTCTTCTGCAGCTGAACCATTGCTGAGTATTGGCCATGCCCGTTCTGAATAAGTTGGTCATGAGAACCAGACTCTACCACTTGCCCATATTGAGTAACCGCAATCAAATCAGCATTGCATAGTGCAGATAAACGATGTGCTATAATCACAGTTGTACGTCCTAATGAGGCCTGGTTCAAGGCATCTTGAACAGCCTTTTCGGACTGTGAATCCAATGAACTTGTGGCTTCATCAAGCAACAAGACTCTTGGGTCTCTTAGCAGTGCCCTTGCAATGGAGATTCTCTGTTTCTGTCCTCCAGACATCTGAAATCCTAATTGCCCCACCTGAGTAACATAAAACATAGGCAGAAGAAATAACTACCAAGACTATAATTACTGTTGTGGAGGTTACAGAGCAGAAAGAGCAAAATGTGAGTTACCAAAGCAAATATGAAGTGGTACTTACAAAGGTATCATATCCATTCGGTAGTTGTGTGATGAAGTTGTGTGCATTGGCAGCTTTGGCTGCTTGAACTATTTCATCCTGTGAAGCATCCTCTTTTCCAAATAAGATGTTCTCCTTGATTGACGTTGCAAAAAGTATAGGCTCTTGGCTTACCAGGCCCATTTGACTCCTTAACCAATAAAGCTGCAGGGACTTTATGTTAATTCCATCCAGTAGGATCTCTCCACTAAGGGGATCATAGAATCTCTGAAGCAAATTGATCACTGTTGATTTACCTGAGCCACTGCGACCCACCAATCCAACAGTCTGACATGCCATCACCCTAAGGTCGAAATTTCTCAACACCAAGCTTCCTGGTCTTGAGGGATATGCGAAATCGATGCCTTTAAATTCCAATTCACCTTTAACATCTGAGATGGTTTTGCCTTGCCAGTCTGCAGAATCTATGCTTGGAACATGCTCAATCATATCAAAAATAAGAGCAGAAGCAGCATTGGCCTCCATGAAGTATTTGACATTTATCAGGCAACTCCCAAGAGCCCTGCAAAATAATCACGTGAACATCAGTTATAAGGATGTCTTAGGAATGGTATCAAGAAATAAATGCTTCCGATAAGCGGTGCAAGTTTGTATTTCAGCATGAATTTTGCTTAATGACCACGAAATTGATTACATTTCAATTTTGCTATCTGATTGTTATGGTTTACTATTCAAACCATAATTCGTAAGAACCAAGGAGTATTTTAACTTACAGTCCTCCATTGATAATGCACACTCCAGCAGTAAAAGCATCCCCACCTTTGACGTCCTTTTTAATGATTAAGATGCTCCCATACCAGGCCTGAAGAGCCCAAACTGCATAGGAAATTCCTATACTACCAATGGCCATTCCTTTAATTAATCCTTGTTTGATCCCAAACTTTAAAGTTGGTTCCAGTGCAGTTGAATAGCTCTTCACTGTCCTCTCCTCTCCAACATAAGAATAGACAGTCCTGATCAAAGACAGTGCCTGTTCCACTACCCCATCAGCAACTGCATAAGCTTCTTGTATCTTTTCTCCAACTCCAGATATGAGTTTTCCATATACCAACCCTGGAATAATCAGCATTGACAGCGCCGGGATGGCAACAATAGCCAATCTCCAACAGAGGTACGAAGCAGCCATTTGAGCTGTGATGAACATTGATATATTCATGATAAAACTTGGGATCTGTGTCAATGCTACATCATGTTAGTTTGGTCAAAATTAAAAATATATATATAAAGGATAATTCTGCATTAAAGTGAGCTATACTGAAATTGAAGAACCTTTTCACTAAGAACTCCTTGTATGGTAAGCATGTCAGTTGATATACTTGAGACCACTTGGGATGTCATGGATGCTCCATGAACAGTGTCAAAGAAACCAACATCTTGTCGCAGGACAGCTTGTAAATATTTAATGCGCAGTCGGGATGTTTGTCTTTCTGCAGTGCGCGCCCAACAGAATCCTTCTGCGGGATTTAAAAGTACAGTGGCCAGAGGATGAGAGTATGAAGAGAGATATGAGTTTGAAACATAATGACCACAAAATTAATTAGCAGATCAAGTTTCTATCTGTTAGGGTGGTATAGATGGTTAACATCTGCTAGTGTGCCTATAAACAATAGATTCGTTATATAATCTAGCAAAAACCAAATGACTTCTGTGTATTCATATATCAAATCCTAGCATTTGACTTTTTGTATTCATGTCTCAGATTCTATATACCTTCCTCTGGATCCTATCAGCCATGGACGGTTTAGAATCCAATATGTAATTTCATTCAAGATAGGAGAGAAATCGTTTCCCCAAAGTAAAAATGTTGAGAGAAGGGATTGTCTGAGAAAGTCACTCAAATTAGTGAAGTATCTCTAGGTTCATCATAGATTAATTTTATTTAAAAAAATGATAATTACTGATAAGGTCCCTCTATATTCTTTTAAGTATCGGTCATAGAAGTCCGTCCCACATCGGATAGGGATGGGAAGGGTCTTGGGCTTAAAAAAATGGATATACAACACCACCTAATAGTTTAAGCTTTTGGATTGGCCCAACCTGTTACAAGTAGTATTAGGGCAGACCTCGACTCTTAGAAAGAGCATAGCATCAATAAATTTTGTTGAACTATAAGTGCAATTATATTTATAATTCTATGGATGAATTTAATATGTTATCCTCTTAATTGATACAAGGAAGGAAAACTACATACATGAATTTTGTTGAACTATAAGTTTTACAATTTTATATACTCTCAGGAAGAGCATAACATCCATAAATTTTGTTGAACTATAAGTTTTGCAGTTGTATACATAATTCTATGGATGACTTTAACATATTATCCTCTTCACTGAAACAAGGAAGGAAAACCAAAGTACCTAGAAATGCACCAGAACCCACACAAATAGCAACATAGAGCAAGGCCAGTGCATTCTGCAAAATGAACAAAATTCAAATGGTTTATTATGATTGCACTCAAGAAGCAGATAGTTATAATGGCAAGTACTCTTACTAAGTTGATAGCAGATTCAGAACGTATGTAGAGATCATTAAGGAATGGGCCAAACAATGTATATCCAGGTCTTTCAACACTTTCCCTCATGTGAGATCTGTTTTGTTTATGGAGAGGCAAGAAAACATACTAAACACTAAACAGACTGTCGCACTTATTTTCATTCTGCATTTGTTTGTGTTTGTTTGCCTCTCCAAGTGCCAGACGAGATCACATGTATGAGTTTGATCCATTTCCTAATAGCTTAAACTTTTAACGTAAGTTGTTTAACTGACCTTGTTTATGACTTCAAGCATTAGAGAAGATGCATCAGCATAACCATTCATCAAGTTGCTGAGAACTATCATGATTGCAGCCATGTTCATTCCTTCTGATACGCATCCAATTGTCCCCAGCACCATCAACAGCATATCTACCCTGTCTGATTGCTTCAAAACCATCCGTAATGACCCACCTGAGGTTCTAGGATTTCCATTGCCCTCAGCTTTGCTTGATAATTCATCACTTTTCTCTGTTTCCTGGTCAAGCTTTCCCATTTCTCCAAGTTTCTGCTACTCTCACCACTAGGAACGGTTGCAAACTGGTTCACAGGTTAACACACTGCCAGTGACTAGCTTATAGTCACGATTAATATGCTAATCATGGATTTCAACCGCTTAGAGCTGGTCAATAAATTTTAAAATAGCATCAAGTAAATCAACCTCTGAGCCAATACATTGTGCCCCTGAAAATGACTTCTATTGTTAAAATGATTAATTTATAGAGTGTATACATCTACCAATATTAAGGATTAGCTGTCCATCGTCTCTTATTCAAATTTAAGGTCAATTATATAGTTAGATATACTACACTACTTTGTCTTTCTGTGTGTTTTTTTATCTTTTCCATTTCCCATTTTTCCAATTTCAAGTTGGAAATGTACATTATCAAAAAGTTAAACTGCTTTTTACTATATATGAACAAAGGTAATGGGAAATTGTCTGAACACCGGGGTCATCTAAGCTTTCCCATGTTGGAGATGTACACTACCATAAAATGAATTCTATCATTAGAATGATTAAATTAAAGTGTATACAAATTTATAAATTGGCTGCCTATCATTTCTTATACAAATTTATGATCTATTATGCAGTTAGATACTACTTTGGCTGTGTTTGTCAGTGTGTGTATGGTTCAAGTTTAATTGTCATATTATCAGCCTCCCAGCCAATACATTGTACCCCTGAACATGACTTTAACTATTAAAATGATTTAAGTATAGTGTGTCTGTGACGCACCGCATCACCCGAGGAAGGGGGAAGAAGTTGTTGGCACTTGATGTGTGGACCCTCCTAACCATATAGATACTTTTTTCAAATCATGAATACAGAAAGTGTGCAGAGGACAACATCTACGCAACAGGGCAAGTCATGACAGATGGTATCAGAAACAATCCCCAGCCAAAAATAGAGGTGACCGTGCACAAGTCCACAAGGGTCAGACCATCAAAGACATTGTAACGTCCTACATTGCCTGGGAAGAAAGGTTGTTGGCAGTTACATGTGTTGATAACTTTATGCACGGAGAGTGTGCAAAGCGAACAATAACCACACAGCGGAGAAATTGTCTTCTGTGCATAGATAGAATGACAGTATTTCTAGCCGTTTTCGGAATAAAGGGAAACTGTCTACTGTGTCTAGATAGAAGGTTAGATACACTACTACTGTGTTACATCTTCAATTCAAGTAGGAGATGTATAGTATCACAGAGTTCAACTGCTTTCTACTATCTATATACAAAAATAATTGGAAATTGTCCGAACATTGGGGTCATCACATAATATACCCAATATCTACTTCCTTATTCTTGTCATCATCTGGTTGAAAATGGTGCTCTTTCGTGATTACCAAACAAGTCAGTTTGTTTTAATAAATGAATTATTTCACCAGAAAGTAAACGTCAATCAGTATTACCTTCCAAGAAGCTGTGACTTTTGCACAAAGATTTTGGTGTCTTTCCTTCTTGTCCATACTGGCCGACCGCCTTCAAAAAGATTCCACTGGAGCATGTCTATTAACAAAAAAAATTATATAACATAAAATCACCATGAGTGCAACAGTTCTTTTTTTTTTCTCAACTGAACAGTTAGGTAGATAAATAATATGCTTAGCCAAATATATATATATATATATATGCAAATTAAACAAGCTAAAATTGTATACTAGTTCCTTAAGACAATATTCTTCACATTTCGTGCTGAACAAACTCAATTGAGAATTGTCTCCAGGATACAACGATCTTCCTTCCATTGGTGGCGAATCAAACTCCATGTAATACTCTCTTTAACCCTGACTCAATATGGACCCTCAGACTCGAACCCAATATGAACTTTCAGAAATTGGACACAAAATGCAGAGCATATATGATAACCAAGAGATGACTGTGTGCGCACGTGTTTGTGTTTGAAGGGGTGTGTGGGGCCCTTTTATGCGGAACTTGAAATTTTCTTCATTTTTGCTCTAATAGCACATACATTTTTATGATAACCATTGTTTGATCATATTACTGTGTGTTCCCATGAGGGTAACGGGACAGCAATATTGACGAAATTTCATAAAATGACTTAATTATCTTTGTTTAGTGTTAAAAATATATTAATTCTATACTTATTTTCATATTAAAGGACAAAAAGACCGCATTAACAAAATTGCCCTTCTGGATATGGAGAAGTACAAGGCATTGTGCAAGTGCAAATGAAATGCGAAGTTTAAAAAATCAAATTTCATACTGATTTTATATAATTAAATTAGACAAAAAATGACAAGGCATAGTAGTCATTTTCTTCCATTTTAATGGCAAAATTAGACAGCCGGTTTGGGTGAGGTTGCAATGTGCTACATTTTGAGAGTCCGATGACTTAATTGATGAGTTAATTGATAGTCCGAGGACCTAATTGATGAGTTTTATAGTGCAAAAACACTATAATTCAAGTGTTCAGTGCAATTTTGTCTTTTTGAGTTCTAAATCACAAAATCTTCCACATATACCCTTCCCAGAAGTGATTTTGAAATTATAAATTGAAAATTTGATATAAATCTAATCTTTCTAAATATTCCTTTTGAGTTCTAGTTAATAATGATTATTGTAAATCTGATGCCTCAATGAACAAAGGCTATTTTTGAAGTGTAAATTCGAACATCTTGGGTTTAGTTCTCACACAGCCCAAAAATGCACTATCGGTTTAAATAATATGTAGGGTGGTTTCAATCTCATGCCCAAAAACACATGAATTTAAATGATATGCGTATTTTGTAAGTCATTGTAGAGAGTTTGCAAAACATCTAGAGTCCAAAAGTGGCTAGTGGGGTGAGTTAATTCTTTGTTATCAATAATAATAATAATGAATTGAAATAATAATTATTTTAATTTAAATTCAATTAAGAAAATCATTCACAACAACTTTATTACCCAAAAAAACTTAAATGTTCTATAAAAAAAAAATAAAAAGAAAAAGAAAAACTCAATAAAATGTTACCTTTTCTTTTTAGTTAAATTTTATATATAATTTTATAAGATTTTACATAATAGTTTGAGATTAAATTTTATATCTAATTTAGTAAGAGTATAAATATAAGATTTAATGATTTAGAACTTAAATAAAATCAAAGTCAAAAGTAGAACTAATTGGTCTTAAAATAAATTTATAAGACTTATTTTTCTTTTAACAATAAAAAGTAGGAATTGGTGGTAAGGATTTCAACTTCTTAGAACTAGCCAATGGATTTAACATCAGCCAAAACATTGACTCACTAAAAAGTGATTTTTGAAGTGGAAGTTAAATACGGATCAATTCTTCAACATTTGATTATAAGTTAAAATCAAAATATTCGTATAAATGAGATTTGACCTAATTTGAAGATGTGTCAATATATTTTATTCACAAATTTAACATCAGTCAATACATTCGACCCGAAAAATTAAATCCATCATTAGAGTGATTACATTATAGTGTATTTCTAGCCGTTTTAGGAATAAAGGGTTATTGTCTAATGAGTGTAGTCAGATAAACACTAGTTTGTCTATGTGTGTGTTATTTTATTTATTTATTTATTTCTCTTTTATATTTTCCATCTCCAAATTGTCTTAACACTCGGGTAATCTAAACTTTAGCATCCTAATAAGGTCACATAATTTATCCAAAAACTACTCCTTGTCCTTGTCATCATCATCTGGTTGAATGGATCCAATTACCAAAAAAAGTCAAGATTATTTTAATAAATCAATAAAAAATAGCCGTCAATTAATATCACCTTCTGCCAAATTACAAAGAAATGGCAACAAAGATTTCGTTATCTTTCCTTTTTGTCCATTCTGGCCAGCCGCCTTCAAAAAGATCCAAAACTACAACATGTCTGTGTTTGCCAAGATTAAGAAGAGATTAGGAGAAATTTTTTGATCTACATAGAATGAGTTTTCTAACAACAACCGAACATGACTCTTTTGAATTTGTGACTTCCCATTTTATTGAGAAAAAAGTTCGTGACACTTATAATGCCTTCTAAATGTGTAAACCGGACTATAATATCAGAATTAAATCCTAATTACGCTTGAAGTTTTATTGTTTTGGAACCGGTTCTTACAAAACAAAACTTGACCTTCGGGAGAGAAACTCTTAACTCGTTTGGAGGCTAATAGTATAATCATGAGACTTGAACCCTTGACTTCTTAAGTGAAATTTGTACCAGCTAAAGTTTGTACCAGTTGAATTATTGCTATGTTAGGTGATTTCTTATAATACAATTGATTATTTTATTTTGAATACATTCAATACTTGTTTAATGTTATGTTTGTAAGTATTGAATTGACGCTTTTTATTTATTTATTTTTTTTAATTTTAAATTTTAAATATCAATTCACTGCTCCCAAATGCAAAATAAATGTAACAATTACCTTTAAAGACTCAAAACTGGGGAAAGGATGGATGTTATCATGGATGTTCTGCAGAATATTAACATGACGCTTTGCAATATAGGGATTATGGTTTTTTATTTTTTTAATTTTTTTTAACTTTTTTGAAAAAACCTAGGGGATTATGGATTTATTTGGAAGACGAGGAATATTAATAAGGCTGCGCATGCAACAGCTGTTTATGCATCGCGCCATAGATTTGGATGTTATGTTTAGCAACACATGCCCTCACGATGTGGTCGTGCATATTTCTTCCTAACAATGTCAATTTTAGGATTAAAAAAAAAAAGGAGACTATATATATACTCTACTTTTTAACATTTACACTACAATCTAAAATGAAATTGTAATTTTAACCCTAACTTTACAAATAAATAATTATTACTTTTTAAATAACAAAACTGCCATTTTAGATTTATTTTTCTTATCTCTAATCTTTATTATTTTATGTCTCTTTTGATAAGACAAAAAATAATTTGAATAAATTTTTTTTTTTCACGGGACCAAGAAATAAAAATTTATGTTGAATAAATGGACTCTTTTGACCGTATAAAAAAAATAAAAAATAACCATTAAAAAAATTATCTCT